TGTATATATTGCAAACTCTAGAGCGAGCAAAGATCACAAAAAATGCTGAAATTTTTTAAAAATGTGAACTATACCTGATGTGTTGAATACCGAGGTTTCTGTTACTTCTGATTCCTGAATTCTCTTGTTCTTAAGAGGATATTCTTGGATTTGACGCAGTACCAAGTAATACAAAATAAAATAATACCTCTATTTTCCAGGAGCTCAGCTGAAGATACTTAAATCTTTATGTAACACTAGGCACCTAAGGAAGTGTCTTGTTGCTGTGAGGCTAAGCCCCTGTGTGCCAGTCTCATTTTATATCGTCCCATCTTTTTCTGTTGCAGTTAACCGACATTAAGTTCTGCAATAGTGGGTTATAATTAATTCTTAGGTAGGGCATGGTGAAATACCCATGTAATCCTAGCACTTGAGAGGCCGAGGCAGGAGATTTGTGAGTTCAATGCCAGTCGGCATAAGAGTGTCTAATATTTTTCTTTTTTAACTATTATACATTGAATTTGTACTATGTGAAAAACTACACTAGGTACTGCCTTAAGATAATACGGCTAAAACTCTGGACTTGGGTTTTGCTTGAAAGAATTTCATTTTAAAATAAATATTCACTAACATAAACTAGTATTAAATATATGCATGTATGTCCTTAAGTGTTCACTGTGGACTTAAAATTTTTTGTTTATTCTTTGGTTTAGTGGAGACTGGAAGGTTAGGAAAGTAGCTCTGGAGAAGAAAAGAAACATGGACATGCTTAGCAAATTGTACAAGTTTTCCCAAGAGGTTGATTGCAATTGATCAGCAGATCTCAAAGTCCTTCCTGGTCAAGTTCTAGGATAGTTGTCTCAGTCCAGCCTCTTTGCTGCTGCTAGGACAATTCCAAGTGGGAATTTCACTGACAGTGCCTCTAGCAGACCAATATAATATAACTCTTCCTTCCACATCCCAGTCCCACTTCTTCAAAAGAGGCTGAGAAAATGAAAATTCTTCAAGGAAATGTCTATTTAAAAATTTTTTTAAATTTACTTTTACTTTTTATGTGTATGAATATTTTGCCTGCATGTATATAGATGTACCACATGCGTGCAGTGCCTGCAGAAGCCAAAAAAGGGCATAAGATCCCCTGGAACTGGAGTTTTGGACAGTTGTTAGCCACCATGTGGGTGCTGGGAACTGAACCCAGGTCCTCTGTAAGAGCAGCCAGTGCTCTTAACAGCTGAGCCACCTCTCCAGACCCTGATTTTGCTTTTTAATATCTATGTAGCATCATGTCAAGTAATGGATAGGAGTATGAATAAGGATCTAGTTTCTCCCTCAAAGGGGTTACAGTCTATAAACAGGAAGGGTCCACTATGTATAAAACATTGCAGACCAGGTAGAGTGTGTGTACCCTGGGAGAACAGTGCCAGTGAAAACATCCTGCTGAGGGGATGACTACCTTTACTGAACAAGCAGAATTTGATGTGGATCTTGAGTTGTAAAATACATATGGTAAATTTGGGGAGAATAGTCCCAGTTTGCTTGGAAAATGGTATTGATTCAGAAGAGCAGTTGAGGGAGAAGTGGGGCTGGGGCTAGAACCTGAACATGTTAAATAGGGAGAATTGGACTTTGATTCAGAAAGCAGTCCGTAACAACTGGACCAGATAATAAACTTGTTTATATCTGTACTTTAAAGATTTACCTTTGCTGATGTTTATGACACATTTGAAAAAGTTAATTGCGAGAGGTTAGAGAATGGCTATGCAGTTAAGTGTACTGGGCACTCTTGCAGAGGACCTGGGTTGAGTTCCCAGCACCTACATGGCAGCCAACTACTGCCTGTAACTCCAGTTCCAAGGGATCCAACACCTTCCTCTGGCCTCTGTAGACATTGCATGCATGTGGTACACTTACATACAAGCAAGCAAAACACTCATAAAACAAAAATAAATAAAAATTTTAAAATAAATTAATTGGGAAAGATAACTATAAAAGTATTGAAAGTAGGCATCCTAGTTTGCTTTCTGTTGCTGTGATAAAACATGGACCAAAACCAAGTTGGGAGGAAAGGGTTACTCCCTCTTACAACTCCCAGGTCACACTATTTTTGAGGGAATTCGGGGCAGGAACTTGGAGGCAGGACCTGAAGCAAAAACCATGAAGGAGCCCTGCTTACTGGCTCACTCCCCTGGCTTGCTCAGCTACTTTTTTACACAGCCCAGGTCTACCTACACCACCTGCAGTGGGCTGGGCCCTCCTACATCAATGAGCAATCAAGAATATGCCCAACAGACATGCCCTCAGGTCAGTATGATGGAGGAAGTTTAACTGAACAAGCACTGACCAGCACAGTAGGTCTGAAAATAATAGTAAAATATCTTTTACTGAGTGCCTACTAAGCACCCACCATTGGAACATGGTTAATACTAAAAGCTACATAGTATTTTGCCAAAATTGTAGGCAAGAAATAGACTGAAATGGGATCTGTAATGTGTTCGATGCTTGGTGGGTGCCACACACCTTTAATCCCAGCACTCAGCAGACTGAGGCAGGTGGATCTTTGTGAGATCAAGGCCAGGCTGGTCTACATAGGGAGGCCAGCTGGGGTACAGAAAGACCTTGTCTCAAAAAAAGAAAGAAAAAAAAAAACCCAAACCCAAAGAAAACAAAAACCAAAGAATGAAAGACAGACCTGAGATTCATAACTCAGCCATACCCAATTCATATGTAATTATTCTAATGCGCTTTGTACTGGACTATAGTTTCTCACCCTTCCCCCATCCCCACACCCAAGGAACTAGAATAAACTAGATATACAGAGATGGAGTTTGTTGAGTTGAGGTGTGGGAAGTGCCTTAATGTTGTTCTTTTGAATCTCATAAACCCAGGAGAATTTTCTAATCAGAGGAAGATGTGGAGTCTCTGGATGGCAGTGGGACCAGGGAGAGAAGAATCAGAGAGTCACCTGAGAAAGAATAAAAAGTGGGGAGAGTGACACATTGAAGGACAGCATACGACAGTAAGATAAAACTGCATGGTGCGGGAGGACGAGGCAGGGAAAGGAAATGAAGTGACTAGCAGTCTCGGTGGGTTTAGAGAACCGAAGGAGAAAAGGATGTTTAGTCTGATCAGTGCCAGGAAGAAGCAAGTTTGTAAGAGATATAAAAATGATGGGATGGCAATGAAGTGCAAGTGTTAATATAAACTGTTTAACCAGGAGATAAAAAGACAATGTTGGTCCAAGACATGTGACACTGGAAGTGGGTTCACTGTTTCTGCGTTTAGGGTGTAGTTCATAGAAATGGCAACCCTCCGAATGGATACTTATAACCAAATGGCCCTTTGCAGTATGCGTGGAATGTAGGTAGGCACATATCAAGAGAGTATATGGAGGAGCTTCCATTTCTCCAGAGAACTGAGAACAGATTAGCATGCTCCAGCCAGAGAGTAAGAGGGAAGATTTAGAGATGGTACTAAAAAGACAGATGAGGCTCGGCTTTGGAAGATCCATGATTGTCAGTTTAAGGAGTCTGGACTTTATCCTGAAGGCTCTAGGGAATGGTGGAAGAAATGTTAAGTAGGGCAGTCTTCATGCCTCTTTACCAGTTCATTGCTGCATGTCAGTTACTTTCCCTATTAAAGTAAATGTTAAAATTATTACCTGCATTTCTACATAAAGTGGAAGTGAAAGTTCTGACCATATTATCATGTTGCTATCGATCATCAGACCCAAGTGCATGGGGAGAATCACTGAGCCGTCTGCAAAGAATTGAGATGTGGTTGCCCAACACTTAGAGGCAGAGGCTTGAGTGATTGTACAAGTTTTAGGGTTTTATTCTGTTGAAACAAATCTCATGTAGCTCAGGCTGGCCTCTGAACTTGATATGTAGCTGAGGGTGACCTTGAACTCCCAACCTTCTTGCCTCTGTTTCCTGACTACTGATTTTATAGGCATGCCCTGAACTGATTGTATTGTATA